CCTAGACTGGAGAGAGCTACAGCTCTGAATCTGCTGTACCTCATATTGCAAGAATATTATACAGATTACAGGAAGTGTGAATCTAAGCAGCGGTCAGAGGGGAAAGCAGATTTCACCTCCTGCTCTTCCCATTTTGCAAAAGAAGCTCAAAAAGGTTAACTGGCGTGTGAAGAACCAACCCTCTCTTTAAAGGACAAGGGAGGTGCTCTTGGCTTTGTGTGTGGTTAGTGGACATGTACAAAACATTTTTCTTTAAATTTCTATCAGAATTCAATCACTGAATGTCTTGCAAAATAATACTAGGGCACTACTACCAAGGCAAGGTAGTTAGAAGGTTTTCTCTGACAGCATGCATGAAATCAACCTGTATGAAATACATATGCATTGCTTTGAGAGGCAGGAAATAATTATACGATCCACACAGGGAGATGGTGTCTATTCTTGTGGAGAATTCTGGTACTGTGCAGCTGATTTCCAAACAATAAAAAACAAACAACAGAAGCTGCCAGTGCCCTATAAATTATTTTTTTCTTGTCCCATTAGGGTTCCCATTTCTCTGCTAGTTTAACTCATAGGAGCTCAGATGTAAAGACCCACAAGATGCACAGTTTTCTCTGTGCAGGTGCGGGAAGTTCTTATCTCCCCCTGTACAGACACGATCTCTCCAAGAGTTGCCAAGACTCATTTTATTTAGGGTTAGAAATTCTGAGCCACCGAAAGCTGTCAGGAGTGACAGGTCTCCTCAGCCCTGTAACAGCAGGGCCTCAGGCAGCAGGAGCTCCTGCAGCGCCCGGGATAAAGAAGGGCACGCGGCGCTCGGAAGTGCGTGAGGTGCTTTATCAACAAAGCAGTAGAAGGAGGCAGTAAAAGGATAACAGTATCAAACACTTCATCAACAAACTCTCTTTTAGCATCCCTGACATTAGTGCCAAGAGAAAGATTTTGTTTTACAACCACTCTCATTTTACAGATTTTTGCTGGGCTTAGCAGCTGCCCAGAATAAACATTTAAACTTATTAAACTTTTCTTGAAATCAATCCTTTAGGTTTTTCTCATTATTTCACATTCTTTTGTACAATAAAATATACTTTTTAAAAAAATCACTATGCATCAATAAACATCTGTAGACAAATTACATTAATAAACTTCATATTTTACTCTCTATATACATGTTGGCAATGACAAAGATTCAAGATTCACGTGGAGGTCTGCAAACCCGAGGATATGTACATAAATAACTTAGATTTAGGAAAAATTAAAAGCTGAAGGGTATTTTGCCACATAAATGTGGGTCACAGTATTTAAAATATTTTTATAGTTATTCTTTACAACATTGTCTCAGTAGAGAATGATTAATTAAACTGAAGCAGAAAGAAAAATCAAGTTGCAGTGACTGATTCAGTGCAGAACTAAGTAAAGAGCAGTCAAGTGAAGAACTACATTTGATTTTTAAAGAACATATAAGGTATTGGAGACTCCTCCAGTGCTAAGGCTTCTTGAGCTTTTAATCTTTAAAGTTATCATCCTGAGATGGGAAGGTTCCAGTGGATATCACTTTTCTGATTTCAAATGGAATGATTATAGCACTAAACTAAACCATTCCTCAGTCTATATGTTAGACTAAGTGGTAAAATACATACATCTTGATGCCACATTTCTACTTAATACTTTTTATGGCCCTGAAAATGGAAACATTGGCATCTAAAACCAATATATTTCAATATCATAAAAAGGCACTGAGCTATACTACTGTACACATACATGTATATAGCGTACATGTATGTATGCTGCATACAGCAACGTTTTTGTTTGCATAGATCAACAGCAACTTTGAACACAGCAAAGAACTCAAACACAACCTGTAACCAAGAGGAATATGGAAGAAGCAGGAATTCTTGCTCAGTAATCTGCTTAGGGCAAAGAAGCTTTTGGAAAAAAATGTTCAGGCTGATAGCTTCGTTTGTCCTTCATAAATTAAAAACGTGCTTTTAAAGGAGTGTTTTCTGCTCAAAGAGCTGCAGGTCGAAACGGATCCAGACTTCACCAGTGGGAACTTCATGCAGCAGCAAGTGTTTCGTTGTGGGTCCCTTGCTTTCTTGGTCTGCTCTGATTTTTGCTACTGGAATTTCCGTGCGACCCAAGAAATCTGTCGGACAAATGCAAATGAGTGAGAAATGTCATTAAACAAAGACCTGTTTGCTTGGAAGAGCTGAACAACTTGATGCCAGTATCGTCTAAAGAGGAAGCCGTCCCTGACAGACAGCAGAGCTCAGGTCTACGCAGCAGTTTCTCCTGCTGGCACATGTAGCATCCTTACAATTTTTTTTTTCAATCTCTTTCTGCTTTTCATCTTTTGCTGCTATCATTAATGTTGCTGTACTATCACACTTCTGTCTGTAGCAACTAGAAGTGACAACATGTGAGAGTCTCAACATAAAAAGCAAGGCTATAGGCATTAAGTACTAAGTACCAGAGCACTAGCCTCAAGCTTCCTTGTGACTGGACTTTCACTCTTGTGTAAATCTGACAGTACTGACAAAAAGGGGGCTTTTTAGAAGACAAAATGCTATAGAATGAGAATGGAAAACATGCCTCTATGTCACAGCTTGATCTAAGGGCTTCAAAAACATCAGTTCCCTTTTCAGTAATGTTGTTTGGAATGTCCTCCAGTCTTTGTGTTGGAAGAACAAAATTAAGTGATGAAGCACAAAAAAAAAAAAAAACTATTTTGTCTCAGCCAACTTTTAATTAGACTTTTAGATAGATAAACAGATTCATCAATGAACCTGTCATGGTTTTCGCAAGGACAATGACCCTGAAAAAAACACGCTAACAGGTTTACAGCCCTGTTCAAGAATGAGGTACCTTCTCTGTGGCCATTTCATACCCAAACGGGTACGTGCACGAGTGGATGTGTGTGGAAAGGTGCTGATGTGTATGGAAAGGTGCTGGTTGAGCAGGAGCAGCTGCAGGAGGGGGCAGCAGCGTCGCACTGCCCCGCGCGAGGACAAGGCCAAGCTGGGCCCGCACATACGGCAACTCCACTCAAGGCAAAATGATGTGAACTGCATTAACCACCTGTGTATCAATGCCCCGAAAAAACGTGTTGGCCCTTTCAAAGCCTATTGCAAACTGCTGCTTGCCAAGAATGTGCTCAGTTTACAAGGGAAGAAAGAACAGTCTGCAAATATAACCTAGCACCTTATTTTCAGGCATTGGCTGTATGATAGAAGAGAGTTCTGCTTTCAACAGTTCTCTCTGCCCAGCTTAACAAAAAATAATTCTGTTGTTGGTGCACAAGATGGGGTATGGTGTGACTGCCCAGACCTCTGGGCTCCTCCAGAGGAAGGAGCCATCATTTTTATGGATTTCTCAGAAGGCTCTTGGTGACAAACTACAAACCCCAAGTCACACACACAAAAAAACCCCACATTCTTTTCCTGAAAACAGATGTTCGCACTTACCATCAGGTGCAAACTGATCCCTGTCAAACATGGTGATGCAGAGGACATCCTGATAGAGATCCTTAATGAAGAACTGGCAGGTGAAGTTCCACTTGGGGTTGAGGGTGTCCTGCACGGTCCGTGTCGTGTAGCTCTGTGAGCCCATGCTGATCTCACAGTACGGGTTGCTTTTCCCTAGACAGAAATTAGGGAAACACCTCAGCAACGCGAGGCCGCTCGGACCCATCAGCTCTGCTACCATCCAGAAAAATGGGCCTGTGCAACCCGTGCATCCTGAGGCAGCACAGAGCTCGTCCCTCGCCCGGTCCTCTAGAGCTCAGTGGTGGCCAGTTCGTTCAGAAGCTGTAGCTGAAGCCACAGGGTTTCCAAATCACCAACCTGCTCGCTACCAAACAGGGCAGGGATAAAGTCAGTTACCGCTAATAATCCCTTCACTTACCATTGGGTTTACAGGCCTTCAGCTCCGTCGCCTCAATCACGTGCACCATCAAGCGACCTATTCCCGAGGTCTTTTGTGAGCGAGCTGGGAACAAAAAGGTGGAACTGAGCTCGTTGGTTGCAGACAAAGTAACAGACGTAGCAACAGATGCAGAGTGAGAGCCCACACGGACACCACTGTGTCCTCCAGGAAAGGCCCCGCGCCGGGGGCAGGCGGAGGGGGGCAGGTACCTTGATAGGCCTTTTCACGTTTCTTCTTCTCCGTTTCGATGTACTGCTCTGATGCTGCTTTGATTTTCTGCACCCAGGCAGTCCTGCAAAAGAAGCAACCCCCATGGTCTGGGCTGTACGTCGGGCAGGACGATCCTCACTCACCAGTGACTCTATCTCAGTATCTTTTTTACCATTTTTGCCCCCACTGAATTTCAGAGGCATCACAAATCAGTCAAGTTAATTCAATGACTAAATTTAGTTATGGAGCTTTTGGATTTAGTCTTATGCCACATGTCCACATCAGCCTAAATAAGTGGCATTGGAGCTGCCTTTTCAGTCAAGATTGCCGGGCCACATTCAGCACTGACGAGGACTGTGGAGGAATCCTATGGAATGCAGGGCTTGGCAGTCCTGAGCTACTCTCTGTACAACTAAAGCATCTCGGAGTGCTACTTGTAGCTCTGGGCTCTGCTGCAAGAGCTGCAGGACAAGCAAAACAACCCGAGAGAATATTTCAATTCAAATGAGAGTCAATGAGTTTAACTTCTGATTGAGAAGCTACGTCCTGCTTTCTGAGCCCCTAACCCCCCACTCTGTCCATAGGAAACGTTTGAAGTGTTCAATCTCCGAGCAGCGTTGGCCCCACTCACCGCTCGTTGATGTTGTCAGTTTTCAGTGTGTAAACCCTGTCAATGTGCGATATGTGAAAAACGGGTTCGTCGCTTGATGGGTCTGTTGGCAGCTTCACCAGGACCTCGTTCAGGAAGACAGGCTGAGGGAAGAGCAAACGTCACTGAGGCAGCGTCGCCCTCACCATGAGCAGAAACACTACACGGGTGTTTAAACAGCCCGCTTCACTGCGTGGAAAAGGAAGTCCTGGGACACGAAACCAACAAGCAGATCACTGTGTCAAGGTGCCAGGACTGAGAGGAACACTTAAATTCTGGCAATAACGTCTGTTCTTCTGGGTTAAGAGCTTTGCGAAAGGGGTAGCGATGCATAAGGGCAGCAGCAGTGTGGATCTTGGAGACCCTCTCAGGACAAGCTCAGGTGGCTGCTCTGAATGCAGCCACCGACTTGTCCTGCGGACACTGAGCATGACACTGTGGATACACACGAAGGTGTTGCAGAGCGTGGCTCTCATCTCTGTGCACGTTCCTAAAAGCTGCTTTCAAAGAGTGCTAGCCCTTCTGCTGTCTTCAGAAGCCCAGCTATTTTCATGTGAATGCAAGACCTTGCACAGCCCAAAGCTCCTGACCCTCTCAGCAGTGTTACGCACAGGCACGATGCTATTTCTGGCTTGTTCAACCCAAGCCAAAACACTTCTCCTGTGTGGGGGACTCGGCCAAGCAGCCTTTGCGTGTGCTGGCTGCCAGTGCATGGCCGTGTGGTCCGTGATCCAGCGGGGCTAGACGGCTAATCCTGGCAGACAGAACAGCATTCCTCACCGGACGCCAGATCCTGCTGTGTAAACATCACCCGGGAGCTCCTCGCTCACTCACCGTTTTGTACATTTTAAACTGGGAGTTGCACTTGGGGCTGAAGAGCTTATCCGAGCCGGAAGAGACGAACTGCTTCACCATGTAGGTGAGCAGCAGGAAGTCGTTGAAGAGGAAGCCGTAGAGCTCCTTGCTGCTCTTGGCCTTGTACAGCTTGCCACTGTGCAGGAGCTTCCGCGGGCCCAGGCAGTTGGTGAGGGAGTTGAAAACCGGTTGCTAGGAGAGACAAAATCCAGCAGCCCGTTAATGCAGGCACTAGTTCCTGCTCATCTTCACAGCTCCCTGCACTGTCAAATGAGAGGTGGCACCTCAGCTGAGCAGGTCAAAGGCTGTCCTGAAAGGTGTGTGGGAGTATTACAGGCACCTCCGAGGAGCTGCCAATGGGGGTTTCACAGAATCCCAGAATGGCTGAGGTTGGAAGGGACCTCTAGAGATCATCTAGTCCAACCCCCCTGCTCCAGCAGGGACACCCAGAGCACGTGGCACAGGGTGGCATCCAGGCGGGTTTGGAAGATCTCCAGAGAAGGAGACTCCACAACCACTTTGGGCAGCCTGTGCCAGGGCTCTGTCACCCTCAACAGGAAAGAAGTTCTTCCTCACATGGAGGTGGAACTGCCTGTGTTTCAACTTACACCCATTACCCCTCGTCCTGTCACCGGCCACCACAGAGAAGAGTTTGGCCCCATCATTTGGCCCTACATTCTCTCCTCAGGTACTTACACATGTTGATCAGATCTCCTCTCAATCTTCTCTCCTCCAGACTAAACAGGCCCAGCTCGCTTAGTCTTTCCCCATACTCCAGTTGCTCCAATCCCTTATTCATCTTCGTTGCTCTACACTGAACCCTCTCTAGAAGCTCCAGGTCCCTCTTCTGCTGGGGAGCCCAGAACTGCACCCAATACTCCGTTGTTGTAACGGAGGTGAGAACCATTCCCATTTTTCCCCCCGCTGCCTTTCCAAAATGCCCTGCAGCAGCCCGTGCAGCCCTGCGGAGCGGCGCCGCGTCACCCCAGCCAGGCCCTCGCACTGCACGTGGCTCTGGATCCACTCCAGCCTGTCCGAGTTCTCCTTCTCGCGCACCCCCTCGTTGACCTGGGAGCAGAGCTCCTCCGCGCGCTCCAGGGCCAGCCGGAGATTGCTGTGATCGGGGTGAGTTTCCGGAGTGTTCTCTAAAATCTGGTATGAGACAAAAAGGGGGGAAACCAGGATCAAAACAGAGTCTTCCTGCTCCGCACCGCCAGAGAAATACTGTAAAGGACACGGCTTTATTCACCTTTACTACTGTGACCAAACTCAAATGCATCCCCACCCGGGGCCTCCCTTAGGGTACTCACACTCTTGATGAGCAGAGGGTAGCGGGTTATTCTTTGCATGGGTTTCAGGAGGAAGCTGGAGAGAGGCATTCCCTTGCAGCGTGGATCCACGGCCAGTTTCTGTGGGGCAACCCAGAGATTTAACAGAGTCACTGCATTAATCTTCAAGAAACAGTCGCCTCATTGCACTGGAAAGTGCCTGATTAAAATTAAGTTTTCCAGACATTCATTAGAGAGGAAGGTTGATAGGTAATTATAAAGCACAAACACACAGAGTTATCATGGTCACCATATAAATACTCCTTGGCAGGTTCTTATCCATTTTTGCAAGACTTCACTCTTCTGGGTTATTCTGATCTAGGTGACGCTGGTTGGACAGGCTTCTGCCTAGGTCCTGCCACCAACAAAAGGAGAAAGTCCAGAAGCTACTGAACCAGATACCTTCAAGAAGTCTTTGAAATCAGAGTCCTCGTCAGTTTTCTGCTGCAGCAGCGAGGCCCCGTTGAGCTGGCAGCTGCAGAAGCGGATGTAGGCCTGCATGTGGGCGAGCTCGGCCGCCAGGATGTCCCCGATCATCTGCACCGGCATCTTCTCTCCTCCCGTTTTCTTACGCACCCGCAAGGCTCTGGAGAAGACAGAGATCAGCCGGGAAGGACGCGAGGTCCGAGCCAGAGGCCTTGCAACACCCACGTCCACAAAGGCACCAACAGGGCCCCGCTTCGACCAGGAGGCAGCTGTTGGCCCAGGGGAAGCTGAGAAGAAATATCTGCCTGGTAAGCCTAGATGACTAAGATTTTCCATTGAGGTTTTTGGAGAAAATGTCATTAATTGTTACAATTGAGCAGCAACCCACTCTAATAAATTATTATCTGCTTTATGAAGATTATTTTTAGAGAACACAAGGCTGCTTTGCAAAAAACAGGAGAACACCTCCAGTACATGCTCTTTCTGTAGGCTTTATTGCTAAGATACTAGAGTAAGAGTGCATCTGTTCTTGCTATTTATTCTTGTCCCTCTCCCCACAGCTCCTTCTTTGGGAGGAAACCTGAATGCCCTTAGCTGCTCTGAACACACACGTACACAGGAAACAATGAGCACAGACAGAATATCTGCTGTAAAACCAGAAAACTTCCTGGGGAACAAGAGAATAAAGATCTGAAGAAGAAAATACAAAAGGTTAAGTGAGCTCTTATTTAGGAGCCACAAGTGTAGGTAAGTACTCACTTCAGTAACTTTGTATTTGACATGATAAGTTCCTTCCAGTTAACAAAGATCAGCCCCATCTCTCCTTCTGTGAGACAGCCCGAATCAGCCATTGGTTTCTGGAAAACCTGCAGTCAAAAGTTCAGAAAGGTGAGCAGCTCTTCACGGATAGAGGCAACTTGCTCCTTGTTTGAGCTAAAGATTCTGCTCTTTCAAATGCTGAGCATCCAGTTTACTGGGAGAAGTCAGGGGCAGTCCCTTATTAGCAACCATCAAAGGTGCAGGCAGTCAATAAACTTTCCAGGTACTTTTGCAACTCATTTTCTTGAGCCTCCGCAGCTTTGCGAGCAGGTGAGCACAGACTTAAAACTCATCTTAAAACCAAACTGTTTTTCCAAACGTGTCCTCACGTCCAAGACATCTCACCTCTATGACAAGCTGGAGATCATCCATGTACCTTTCTTCGGTCTGAATGAGTTCATGAATGTAGCCCTGTCTTTTCCTCTCCATTGGCTGCATAGTATCAAGGCTTTGGAGATCAGCACACCCTACAAGAAGCAAGCCAGGAGTTTAGGTCCCCGCTCAAAGCCGTCAGATCTGACGAGTTACATGAAGTCCCATGAGAATTCAGCAGCCCGAGCATCAGCCTATCTGCACAGCAGGTCTCCTCTAAAACCCTGGCTGTTAGTGAGTCTGCAAATCTAGTCACGTAGCCATTAACTCCCTCCCCACTTCAGGTCAGTTTTGCATCTAAAACCTTTCTGTTTCTTCAGACATTCCCTTGCTTGTGACACGTAACAAGAACTCCCCACTTCTTGTCACTCCACCTCCCTCGAGATTCCTCCTCTTTCTCTGCAATGCTGTAGTCCAAGCTGTGACACTCTCTTACCTTGGGCAATGTCTTTGGTGGGATGCAGCAGTCTAGAAGGTGGCTGGGATCAATTTGTGACATTGCACCTCGAGTTCCCACTCTATTTCTAAAGTGTCCTGACTTGACTGTTGAGGTACAATACGAACCAGCAGTGTGAATGCACAAAGTTATGCTGCCCAATTTTAGTTGCCTAACTTCATAGCTGAGTTATTTTTTTTCCTAGTTCACAAACAAAAGCAGCCAGAGATGGATTATTTCTTATGCATTTGGACTGAATTAGTTCTTATGCATTAAGTTTGGAGAATCAAAAACATGCACAGGATCACACAGGCATCTAATGACAAAATAAACACCCTGTTTGCCATGATAACATGCAATCCCTGTGGTTTCCGATTACTTACACCCTTTTTCTCTTCCTTGTACATTAGTAAACATGATAGTTTGACATTTAGTAACTAAATCAAAACTGATAAAAAACAAAGCAAGAAAGTAGTGAACGAGTCTGTTTAGATGGGCAAGAGAATGGAAAATCAAACTGATTCATCTGCTAGACACCACAGGCTAGGCAAATACTGTGGAGTGGCAGAAAAAACATGATTAAGGAGTGTTCAGGAGCATCATACGTGTATCATTTGATAAGACAGCATCAGACTTTACTAAAATCTAAACCATGGATTTCTTTTTTTGGAAGAGGAGAAAAAGAGCAGACACTAGAGGAGCTACAAAACTCCTTCCTGAAACTTTGCAAGTATTTTGAAAAGCGGAATGGCCACATCCCCCATCACCCTAACGCATCCAGGAAATCAGAATGGGATTTTCTCCTGGCTGCTGAATTTTAGATTTGTTTGGGAAAGATGGCTCTAAACAGTGAAACGAAAATGAGGTAGTAGCAAAAACACCAAAAAACAAAGTTAAGAAGTACTGAACGTTTAGAGAAGTTTGGTTTGATGTGAGCAGCTCCAGAGCAGTGCGAACGCTTGTACTTACGTCTCTCAATTTTGTCTACTTAGAGCTGCAATAAACCCTGGAAGGAAGATGCACCTTCTCTGCATACCTAAACCAGACCTGATTTTAAGAAGCTCAGCATCAGATGCAAAAAAACACAGTTCATTTAATCCATTCCTGCACAATCCATGTATTGGAGCTGTAGGTTTTGGGGCTCAATGGATATTTCCTCTTCTGAGCTTAAATAAGCCCTAATAAAAAGCCCTAGATGGTGACGGGTCTGATGAAACCAGCGTAACATACTTAGGGTAAAATCCACACAGCTGATTTTAGGGAACTAATTTAGGCACTTGGGTCTAAAAGGAAGATAAGAGAGAGAATGGAAGGAGACACCCCAGATGTTGGCCTGTCGATGCCAAATCCCATGGTGGCTGCAGCAACCCCCTGGCCCCTGCTACGGAGAGCGGGGACCAAATCCTGCCCCTTCTCCTGGGCTGCTCCTGTCCACCCCTTTCCTTGCATCAGTTCTGGCACTTGTCTGACTCCCGGGGAAGAAACAAAAAATAAAATCTTTTTTCTTTGCCAGTTTAGCAGCCAGGAATGTGTGTTTCAGTAGAATTGCTCTTTTGGCTGCAGAAAATCATCAGTTTGGCTTCAGTCGCAGACACCCTCATGGCTTTGGAAGACTTCTAAGATCTGCTGGGACACAAAAGTGCTTTTGATCCATCTCCTAAATGGAATGAACAATGAAAAACACAGGAAAAAAAAAAAAGACAGTGATGTTTCATCTGGTAAGAGGTGCTGAGCTCTAGCACTTTCCCTGAAGCAAGCCCAGCAAAATCACTGCTTTGGGCACCAAAACGAAGGCTATTTAGGGGCAGAAGTGGCCTGTGGAAATTACACTTGTAAGAAGAGTGTTTTGGGTTTCTTTTAAGGCTCAAATTAATGGATAGAGCTGGAAAAACGAGGTAAGGTTTTGAACCCCTGCCTGTATTAACCCTAGGCTGGTTTCCATCACATCCTGAGAAGCAGTCTGCAAAAAAACTACATCCAACCTCCCCATTCTGCTACATGGACTAAGTGCTCTCCACAACAGCAGAAACTTGGAACTCAGTGGAAAGCAAAACTGCTTCGTCAGAGACAGCGACCCAGTGCTTGCCCCCAGCTCTTCAGACGGGGAGAAAGATGACCCAGATGACCAAAAAAAAAACCACAGCAGACAAACGAGATCCTTTTACGTGTCCCTTTAATAAAATACATTTGCATAGTAATCTTACAGCTTCATTTAAAACAGAAGATGAGCAATTGCCCCATGCGAAGCAGAGCTGGCAGCTGCTGGGCTGGGAGAGCAGCACACGGGGCCGTTTGGGAGCTGGGGACATGGGGCCGCTCTCCCTGCCGACCCCAGGGTGCGGGCAGCAAATCCCCCATCCCGAGCAGCAAATCCCCCATCCCGGCGCCGTGGCGGGGCCGGCCGCGCTCCCTGCCCGGCTAACGCGTGACGCCAACGGGGCGAGCGCGGAAGCGGGAAGCGCTCGGGTATCCGGGTGCTCCAGGGGCTGCTGGGCTTCCCCAACTGCTGGGAGCAGCAGCAGGGAGCAGCAGCCCTGCAGCTCCCTCGTGTTCGCCCTGCCTGGATCCAGAGCCGGCCGCGCTCACCCGGCACGGGATGAACGTTGGGACACTGGTTTTATATAAAGCAGCGGTGCTGACGGCCGCGCTTTGCTCCGTGGGGTTGTATCCACAGAAGAGGGCATTACAACCAACCCGGAAAATTTAGATTTTTTTTAGGTTAACATTTTTAAAACAAAAGTGATTTAAACGCAGTTTCTACTAGCAACACCTCTGCACCGATACAGAAAGTGACCTTCAGTCTGGTCTTCAACACAGCCTCGGCCTGGCCCTTCCCTGGATAACGTCCCATCGTCCAACCCTTCCCGGCCCCACACAGGGATAAACACTGCAGGCAGAGACGGCGCCTTTTTTAAATCGGTTATTAACATTTATCATCATCGTGATCACGACTACAGCTAGAGAGTTCAAAGGGTCCTCAGGTAATACTGAAACACCAGAAAGCAGCTGTGAGAGCCCCAGGTGCCTCGCTGCAACACTCATTAGCTGAGCTGAAGGCAGCTGTTTAATAGTTATTATTGTTCACAGCCACATACCCAATTATAGGGCTGCTTGTGTGAAACTGTACTGGCCCCTATGCCTAATTTTGAATTGTAACATTAAAGAAGTGGGTAAAATGCCAGTTCCTTCAGTAAAACACCATAAAACTATTTCCTAGAACATCCCAGGCCAGATGTGAAATCATTTTTTACTTCTTTCAAAGGCAATTTGTAGCAATTTGGCATTGAACAAAAATTGTCAGGGACGATTAGGAAGTCAGTTTGGCTCCAATCCCTTAGGTTAACAGCGTATTTTGGAAATGGGAAAAATTCCCCATAAGATCATGGAGTTACAAGACTACAGTGAGTGCCTGTTGATACCCCCAGGCTAAAGGGATTCAGAGAAGGCAATTCCGGGCAATGAGTGTGTGTGAGTAGGAATACTTAAAAATGCACTTTCAGAAGGAAAACCAAAACCAAGTCAGCTGGACCGCGGCTCCTCGCGAAAGTGTCTAGCACATTATTTGCCTACAATAACACTGTTTCAGTCTCTAATAAAATATTTAGAGAAAATACATCCAGAATAAAAATCCATGTGTAGTTCCATGTAGGCACATTGCTGTAGTCTCTATTGCACAAAAGATAAACCTCTGAACTAAAGGGCACATATACATTATTTGATCAAGTATATTAAATACAATAACATTCCACTCTTTTCATAGAACTTCTGGAGAAAGGCTTTTAAATCTCTGTAATTGGATTAACATTTTCCCGATAGTACCATCACAACAATATATATAAATATATGTGTATATATATAATAAATGTATAGTAGTTTGTAAACATTTCTGCATAAGCCACCTTCGCTTTTTCATTGCATAACTGAAGCCAACTACATTAAACACTTTGTCTGCTAGATTTCTCCTTTTGCTACAGGATCAAGGAGCTTGCTGCTCTATCTGCTAAATGAATCCTTGCATGTACAGGGGGGTCAGGGCCTGAAGCCCTGTTCCCCTCTCCGCGTACGGTTAATATCTGGGCGCCTTTAACTGCACCACATGGCAAGCGGGCCCTAACTGTACCTCAAAGGAGCATCTGAGATGACCGTTTAGGTCTGTTGCTCAACACAAATTCTTTGTTTTTAGCTCCGGGTATCTCTAGTGTTTGCCTGAACTGCATCTGCAGGGAGAGGGTCTAGTAGTAGAGACTGGCCAGTAACTAGTAGCTTTGCCGTATGCCAAAGTATGAGGTGTTTGAATAAAGGAATAATTTAGAGGAAGGTTGTTTAGGAATAGGATATATTGATCCCAAACAGCCTGCAATCCTTCTGTTGCACTATTGTGAAGGAAGAAAGAAATTTAAACATCCTCTATTCTAGTCTATATACTTCCTTCCCCACTCAATAGGGTATTTAGAGGCTGGACTGCATGGGATCTAAATCTTCTAAACCTGGATCTCGCGGCACATTAGTAATCACAGTGACTCTCAGCAGCAGACAAGGTAGGGTTGATTTTGTGGATGAACCTCACGGGCTGCCAATTTGAAAAGCTCAGCACAGAGAAGATTAAACCAAGTCCAACAGAGCAAGAATCAGCAAACATTTTAATTTGCACAGTATAAA